CGCTTCAGTTCAGCCGATTGGCAGGGAGGCTGTGCCTCGGATCCTGGAATAGTGTGTGCTCAAGGATGATAAAGGCAACAGCTGAAAAATACGTTAATCAGTAGAATTGGTTATATAGCATGCGATTGTATTCCAGCTGGGACTCCATTGCTAATACCCAAGTTTCAAAGGCTTGGAAGATAAGAAAATGTGATGGCTTGGTTTTTGTTATTCCTTTAGGTGTTATGTTGTTCTGGCTGGTAGCTGTGATTATGGTATGGGTGAGGGTAGCTCTGATCCAAAACCGGTCCTTGTCCCCAGAGTGTTCATAACCACAAGTGTTCAGAGGAAAAGAGCAGGCATCATGTACCAAGGTGCTTGGTTCCCGGGTGCCAGCCACCTGCTGTGTCAAGTTTTTGTTTCTTTGCATCGTTCTGTCTTTGCTGTCTGAGCTGTGATGCTTGCTCTCCAGAAGTGCGTTGTTTAATAGGGTTATACCTAGAACGGGATGAATCATATTTGTTTGGCAAAAACATTGTTTGGAACACATTATGCTATTTTTTTTTTTTTATTAAACAGCAAAGCAAAAGACTCGCCTGACCTTGGGGGACACGTGTTCACAGGCTACTCTGAATCAGAATACGTTAGAGTGTACATACAGAGTACCTCAGCCAAGCACATTATAGGAGATCTGGGTAGCTGAGACCTGGCCAGCCTGAAAAGTCCCTCCAGGATGGGAAGAAAGAGGAAAACAAAAGGGGAGAGCCAACCCTGGCTGTATCTCACCAGGTCTGCAGATAGTCCACAGTGCAGCTGAAGAAGGTACAGCTGCTGCCAGACATCGGGCAAGGATAGTCTGATAGGGCAGGGGAGCAAGCTGCATCGCATGAGGCTTGTGTCAAGTGTCCTGCCCTCACACACACTTCATGTATCCTCTTGGGCAACTCACTGGAGGATTCACCTCACCCACCTTCAGCCAGCTTAAACCCAGGTGCCAAGTTTGTTAGCTGACTGAATTTCCAGGCAATAGGAAGAGATTATTAGCACATCCCAGCCTAAAATGGGAGGACTGAACTGTCCAGTTGGCTCTCAGAGCACGTAGGAAGCCTGAGACTCAATGCATAACTCTAAAGTGGCAAACCTCCCGTGAGGTTAATACTAATCTCTGCTCTTACTACTTTCTTAAATGAGTGCTGGGGTTCACACAGAAATATGTAACATCATTTAGTGTGTTACTGCAGGATCCTCTGATAGGATGTGATGAGGGAAGTATAGAAACTTGAGTAAAACTGGGCTCTGTTCTCAGTCAGGGCCTCTGGGCCCTGCTACAGTACAAATAACCCATAATAATCATTATTAGATTAAAACCAGATTACCTGAAGAGCAGTAAAAAAGAAACAAACTTTGTCGCAAAAGATTGCATATCCCTTTATTGCTCCCATTGTGGGTTTTTTTTAATCCAAGTCTTGTAAAACTGTGAATTTTTTTTTTTTTCACTTAAAAGCCACAGCTCTTGGAGTCGGTGAATATATGAGAATTAAAAAATAAAATAGCAAGTAGCTAGGGTTTTGAATGTGGAAGCTGGGGGGGGGAATCCATAAGCACTGAAAACAAAAAAAGATAGCTGAAAGCACCTAAACTCTTGGAGTTATGAAGCTCTTCTCATCATGTGTAACCTTTCTTACGGTGTTTGAAGGACTGGGAGCTTCAATGCAGTGTGCGTGTGTGTGTTATGTGTTGGTGGAGATGAAGGTTTGTGTTCATGAATACATGTATACATAAGGTGTCCTTATCTGTCTACAATGAAAATAAGAAAGAGGCTGAAGTTTAGACCAATATTTCAGAAGTGCCAGGTGGTAGCAGATGTTCAGTCAGAGGCACTGTTCAGGGCCTGGTTTTTGTGTCCTCCCTTTGGAGGCAGATCACCCTGAAACTCAGGACACCTCAAAACTGAAGCATCCGACATCATAAACTGCTTCTGGAAAAAATCGGCCATAATTCCTGAACTGCAAACTAATTCTGTGCTGTAATTTGTTTTGTTAGGCAGGGAAGGCACTAAAGCACGAATCATTTGTGAAATGTGATTGTGTGGGTGGATACCTCAAGGATGATGTTATCAGGTAAAATGCAATACCAGCTGGTGTCCCCCAAACGTCACTCAACACTGAATTGTCACTCAACACTGAATCGTTTCAGGGAGCCCTGCAGGCTAGAAAGGCAGGAACCAGTCCAATGCTGGTGAGGTTTATAGCAGAGGTTCAGGTCTGGTTCTGTTCTCTAATCTTCACTGAACAGCCTCAGATAAGTCATTTTAATGTCAATCCCCATGCCTCAGTTTCTCCTCCTGTGATAATAAATGGCTTCAAAAGTGGGGAATTAGGCTGGTGTAAAAATGGAAGAATACTGAACTCGGATCTTGGGTTTGTGGGCCCTAAAGAGCTGTAAGTAACCCAAGAGGGCCAAAAGACAGGCGAGTTCCCTGCATATTACCCAGGTAGCGCCTGCCCCTGGAAGGTTTGTCTGGCTCCACGACGCTTTGGATTCAGCCTGCAAACCCTTCCAACTGGTTTCAGCTCCGCGGGAGATTTGGGGTGGGGGATTCAGTCAAAGAGCTTGGCAGGGTTCTGTCTCCCCAAGTGTCAGCACAACGTGCATCACCCCGGTCCCCACCCTCCTCCATCCCACCTGCCGGGACGCACCACACCTTCCCCGCTGTATGGCTGGAGCCAGCTGCACGGCTAACCCATCTTCCTGGGTGGTGCTGAGCACCACTGGCTTGCATCGACGCTGAGGACTTTCAGCGCCCTTTTGGGAAACAGGAGCCATTTCTCAAAGATGCTCACGATGGCCCCTTTTCTTTCCATCCCAGCCACTGCACATTTCTGCTCTGCACTTATTAAATGCAGGTGGATGCCCTGTTGTGTGCATCTGTGCAGGGTCTCTGGTTGAGTGCGATGGGGTGTTGTGGTTTAACCTGGCAGGCAGCTAAACACCACACAGCCGTTCGCTCACTCC